GACATCCAATAGATTATTTTACTTTATATTTTACAAATGAATTATTAGACAATATAACAGAAAAAACAAACCATTATGGCAGCACAAAAATGAACAAATATACTGACTAATCAGTGGCATATTCTAAATGCGAGAGAAAGAAAAACGGATCGTATTGTCTGTTCTGACAGAGAAGCACCAGGATGAAGGCGGCGGACAACATTTTATTGCAAATCATGTCAAAATCAATCAGCTATGCATTCTGGAAATTGTTTTGAACGTCACCATTCTTTATAAAATGATTAAAAATAAATTAATATTATAAATGTATGTCTTTCAATAACCACAAATTTTTATCAAACAAATTGCATAACATACACAATGAAATCAAGTTTACAGCCGGTAGATTGTTTTGAAATCGGTGCCGTCCCGCAAGTGTTAATAATATTTGCTAATAAAAGAATAAGAACTATATATTACCTACGGTGTCACCGTTTTCACTTAAATTCACCGAAGCACCGCAAATGTATAGTGAATAATCAAATATTTCACCTACCATGCACAACACCTGAAAAAATAAATACAAATTATTCAAAACAAAATATTAGTTAAATTAATAAATAAAGAGTTATGAATTGCATTTTCATTTGATTTTTTTCAATAATTGAATCATGTGATTTGTAATGAGTATTGTTAGATTCGATAATTAAAAGTTTCCCATACCCCCGAAATGTAGACAACATTTATAAGTAAAAATTTAAATAAATATTTTTTTCTGAGAAAAGAAAGCTAATACAATGAAACCTTAATTATGTTTCCAAAATAAAAAAATTATTAAACTTTCAAACTTTTTGAATTTCAGTTTGACTCATTCTCAGTTGAAAAAACTCCAAAATATAATATACTGAATATTGTAATTAATAAAATAATTAGGTTCCGGTTTGGCCGGGACAGTCCCGTATTTCTACCTTGTGTCCCGGGTTTTTCTAAAAGCAATATTTGTTCCGGATTTAGATTTTTTGTCCCGATTGAAAATTAATAGTTAAATTAACAAACATTATGAAAACAAACGAACAAATTCTAAATTATTCGAATTTTGAAAAAAATTGAATAGAACATATAGATCGTAATATATAAGACATATTATAATAGCATAGATAAGAATGTATTAAGGAAGTCCACAATTCTGATTAAAAAAAAATTATTCATATAAAAAAAAATTATATAAATAGCATATGTTATTTAAAAGACCAAACCCCCGTCCCGGATTAGCATAACCAAAAATAACCGCCCCAGTTATGACTTAAAAAAATAAGGTCATCTTAAAAATAACCAACAATCATATTATACAGTAAAGTAAAACTAATGTCTAAAAAATTTTTTTTTGCTGAAGATGAAGGATCTCGAAACGTATGAAAGTCTAATATAAACAACATATATATTTAACATAAAAACATATAAATTTAATTAAAAAAATCAAATTAAAAAAAATGAACTCTTGTAAACGTACGCATAAGTTGTTCATAAAATACGCATAAAATACGTCTTAAATTAATATAATGGCATAGATATAAACGTTGTTCATAAAATACGCTCGGCTTAATTTAAAAAGCACTTATAAGTTTACAGTATATAATAAATAATCTATTTGAAATTATTCTAAACAACTATTGATTATTCTCATTTCTTGAATGTTTAATTACGGTACGGAAAGTTCCAGCAATTTGCCTTAAGGCACGATGCCATGCGCCCCACTATATTCGGTATGCAATAATGCTATAATAATCATAAATGTTCTTACCGTGTTAAGCCAAGTTTCGTGCAAATCCATATCTCGTTGGGCTACATCCAAATGGATAGCCCACTTTCCGCCTCGAATGTTAGCAGGATCCTCCCACACTGGTCTTATTCCTGGTTTAAAGATACCAAATGCACACCCGTTTCCTAAGTCGTGGGCCAATTTCACATGGTTATGACATCTATGATAACAGAAGAGGAATAAAATAAAATAAAATGATTAAAATTGTTGACAGCTAGGCAGATTTATTGAGAACGCCTAGGTTGACAGTTGAAACTCACGTCCAAAAATCTTCGACAGTGTCAAAAGTTACAACGGGTACTTGATGCAGAGAATAGTTGGTGTCTACTCCTTTTTGATAGTGCCACAACGTCCAAGGCCTAACTAGGGCATGTTTAAACATTACTGGCTGGTTCTCGAATACAGATGATCTGGTTCTGTACGATGCCAGAGCGTTGAAATAATCAAGATGATTCTGAAAATATTATTGTTAAATAAAATTCTATATTGATTAAGTAAATGATGTTTACCTTCTGTGGATTATTGTTATCCATTGCTGCCCGAAAATATTCACATTTGTTGTTTTGTGCTAGATGCTTCGATTCGATGAAAAACAAAGGTTCCGAGCCTACGTGATCAGCAATCGATTGCACATTGTTTTATGTCGATGCCTACTGTATTGTTATAAGTGACATTTAGTAATTCCGTTAAGGCAAATAATAATTTACAGATTAATTGAGAATTAAAATTTGTGTTTAACAGCAGAAAAATATAAAGATCTCCTTAAATTATTTTCCTAATTAGTGAGGTGAAGTATGAGCTGTTTATGTCAGTTGTCAATAATGCTAAATAAAAGAGTGTTTTTAAAAGCAGTGACATTTCCATCGAACGTAATATCGTATATAATATTTCCATTAATTCCATTTTAGTATTTGATTACTTAAATAATAAATAAATTAATAAATAAATAAATTGATTAATTAATTACTAAATGAAATTAGTTTTCAAAACAAAGATAATATGCAGCACTCATCAGATTATTTTCGTGAAGTTTGAATTATTTTGTGGCAGCTGGCAATAATTTTAAGTAAAAGAGTGTTTTTAAAAGCAGAATAGTATTATTTATATTTTGTACATTATGGCGCTAAATGTGTGTTAAATACTAGATGAATAGCCAAAACCTACCTAACAAAGAACAAAAGAGATGAGCAAGTCTTAATTAGTGAAGGTGAATGTTAAAAATTAAGCAAAAGTTAAAAATTAAAACTAATTATAAAATACTTGTAATAAACTATAATGCTTAATCAATCGCAACAATTTTGATACGAAATAAGACCAGGCAATGCATTTGTATTTGCAATTCATATTATTCTATCATATTATTTTTTTTTCAAATTTTATTCTGCAATCTGTTTTTTTTATAAACAATAAGCAAAGACTGCTAACAATAAATATTGTACAATATTTTTTTTAAAAAAAAGTAAATAACATTTTGATAACAATTATGGGTCGTTCAATAAATGGCTTCTTTATCGTTTAGCGATAAAAACTTTGATCTTGCAACCAAAGGATTTATTTTCAATACCCATCTCGGAAAGTTTGATATCAAGCAGTAATGTAATCGGCTTTCACTTAAAAATATAGATCTAAAATTTGTTTCGAATTGAAAATAGCCTTTCCTCAGCATTTTTGCATCGAATTAAAAATATATCATCCGTACCGTACTTAAAATAAAAATATATCAAATATAATTATGGAAATCTTAAATTTCAATACAACCAGAACTCTTGAAAAGTTTCATAAGACTTTTGCCATTAAAAAATGGATTAAAGATCAAGAATTGGTTTTATTATTTGTTCAACTCTGTAAAATAAAAAGTAAAAAATAAAAAGTAAAATAATGGAGTTGTTTAAATGAAGAAAAATAGTTGAGCTATATTAAATTTCTGGTTGGAACTATCTAGTTCTACCACAATAAAAAATGTCCCAAAAATTGAGGATATATAAAAATGTAGTTTTATGGTTATTTCACAATTATGGCTATTCCTAAATATAGAAAAATAAATTATTCAGTTATAATGTAATGAATTTGAAAAACAGGTTGATTTCCAATGAAAATATTTCTTGGGCATATAATTCATTTATAATTAAGGAGTTAATTTTAAAAATAGTACAAGGCACATTAACCTTTCAATATCAAAAATATTTCAAAATGCTACTTAAATATTTAACTATAAAATTTAAATTTAGGATTTTAATATGCCAACCTAATATTGGAAACAAAAAAATTACTTATACCGTTTTCAAATTTATTTATTTTATTATTTTTTATGTAAATTTGAACAACATTCTTTAAGAGGGTATTCTTGTTTAGAGACATAAATCTCATGCAATTTTTGAAAGGTCGTAAAAATGGGCAAACAATATTTTTACTACAATTTTTTTTTCAAAGTTATTATGTATATAATATATATTATTAATGTCTTGAAAATATATAAAAAAAAGAGCAATTAGAAATAGTTATTAGGTTATAATTGTAAAAGATTGTGAAGTCGGGGGTTTCGAAAAATTGGCACCTAATTATACCATGATTTTAGCACATCAAATATTTCGAAGAAAAAGATTTATATAATTATTAATTTAGAACACTATCGCTTTCGTATGAACTATGTACAACCCAAAAATATTAATATAACTGTTAAGATAACTAATCAATTATCGTCTATTTGATGCGAACGTCTTTCATTTAATTTTAATTAAGATTCTTCTGAGCTTCTGAAAAGATGGAATTTATCCGCTATATCGGCTGAACTAATCTCAAAACAATTACATACAGTAACGTATGAGGCATGCGTCGCAGTGGGTAAACCATCCATTTAATATGCTAAACAACGTTTGCCGGACCAGCTGGTATATATATATATATATATATATATATATATATAAATCTTTACCATCTCATTAAAAACATTAAAAGGGAAGCAATCAAGAAAAGCAATCGTATAATATTGTTAACATCGTGCATGTGTTGTTAAGAGCCGTGCGTTACATGTTACATGTCTTAATGTTCTCATTCGTCATAAATTTTATTGCTTTTATATTTATGCAGATATGCATAATGTGGTCGGTTACTACATCGAACGCATGTCCAATTCTGTTCGTTTTATTTCGGTCATAACTCATCAGCACTGACACTGTCAAATTAATTTCAAATTAAAATAATAATGTTTTTAAAACGTGCAAAACATCATCAACGTTGGGTCTGTGTTTGTGGTCTGGAGAACGTACGAAAGCAACGAATTATTTATTAACTTTTCGTGGGGTAAGTTATATAAATCGAAAATGATTTTTTTTTTAATTTTCTGATCACTGTGGAATGCATTAGAGAAAATTGATATTTGTGTTTGGTATACATGCATGTACAATCAGATATATTATTTCGTTCATGTTTTCGAGAGGTGGGCTAGCACCAACTAGTCCCAGGTTCGCTGGTTCGATTCCCGCTACGCCAAACCTGACATCAGGCAACTATGATGTCAAATTTCCACTTGAGGTTATAGATATCAAAATATAGCCTCGAGTGAAAATCGCCACCGTGGGTATAGTTGCATATATAATAAAAAATGTCAGCAATACTTTGAGTATAGATAATAGTCATAACTGGACTGGACAACTACTGGGTTGCCATCCATTTAAGATTCATATAATAAGAAAAGTCTAAATAATTACTGAATGTCCTAAAGTGTGACAGATTGTAGTTAAAATAAAAACAAAAAAAATGTTTTTGAGAGAATTATACAACCGATTTGAATGGTTAAAAATTATTGAGTCATACAAACGGGTAAGTCATAAGTCAATTTGCTTTTTGAAAAGGCAGTCTCAGTTGTTTCCTAAATAAAAATTGTATGTAGAAAAACCATCAGAATTTGCCTCTTAAGGTTTTCAAGAAAATGAATCAACCTAAAAACTAATCTTCAACTCTTTTATGGAACCAGAATGTTTTTTAATCATTGGTCTAAT